CAACAGGGGGTTGGGGGGGTGAGGAGAGATGTGTGTTGCTGGCACCTGCTTTGCTCACCTCCTTGGTGCTGGGGGAGGTGGTACAGTGGACCAGAAGGTTTACCTCCTCTGCACTGGGCTCAGCTCTGCACTGGGCTCAGCTCTGCACCTCAGCGCTGGAGGCAGTGGTACGGCAGGGATTTTTTTTTTTTTTTTTGTACCGGGGATCGAACTCTGGTCCTTGCACTTGCAAGGCAGGCAGCAGAACCACTGAGCTAAATCCCCGGCCCATGGGGATTTCTAATATTATTAATCCTACATTAAATTAAATCAATACCTAAATAAAGGAACACATACAATGAACCATGATTTATAATTTTTATATTACTATTTCTATAATAAAATAACTGACACATAATAAATTATGAATAGACCTTTGCAATGTTTAATAGTTATATAAAATGATGTAAATGAAGCAGAGAAATCCAGGAGTATTAGTTCCTTCACAGAATGTATAAACATGTAATATAGTAATCAGATTTCTTTAGATTTTGAAGCACAAGTACCCCTGAAAATATACCCATCTATTTTCTTTAAAAGAAGAGGTGAAATATGTCTTCCAAATTCTAACTTCATTCTCAAATCATCCTATCAGTGCCAAGGTCAACTTCCTAAACCCTACTGGATTCTTGTCAACTTCCTAAAGCCTACTGGGAAGGCTCAACAATAACTGATTTTTTTATCTTCTTCTTGTCATATTTTAGAATCTGTAAAAAGTCACACCAAATACTTATATTGAAAATCTTATTGCACACAAGATGCTTTTAAAGATTTTCAAATGAATTGCAAATCTTTAACATTCAAGTGTAGTTACATTTTTAAGAAATAAAAATTGGTTCCCAAATAAAACAGAAAAGAATAAAATTAGGGTAAATGTACAGGTTTATGTAGCATGAGATGGAGAGTTATTCACAACAATTTTTGTTTAAAAAGCAACTTACAGAAGAATATATAACACAATATTATATTTGTTATTGAAGAAAATGTTTATACATATAGGTGTATATTTGTATAGGGGTGTGCGTGCATTTATGTGTGTGTGTGTGCATGTGTCTTTTAAAAATCTAGAAATATTAACAAAAACTACCTCTGAGAAGTGGGTATGTATAGACTGGGGAGATTTCCAATTTTACTTCACATTTTGTAGTTTTAAATTTGTTAAAATGTATATATATATATTTTTTTTTGTACTGGGGATTGAACTTGGGTCCTTGTGCTTGAGCAGCAGGTGGTGAAACCACTGAGCTAAATCCCCAACCAAAATGTATATATTTTTAATGAGAAGGATTACAATGGGCCCTAAGAGTAGAAAAAATGCAAGAGTCAAGCATTTTGGAAGTTATATTCAAATATCAAACAAATGATCATATCAAGGTTTATTAACCATTCTCTAGGTTCTAGAAAGATCAGTTTAGAAACTTACTTCACAGGTGTGTGGTAACTCTGCCTCACATTATTCATGAATGGTCTTCTGAGAGTCAAATTCAACTGTCTTTCTCAGATTAGTATCCTGTTTAAATATATTTGCTGAATCAAAAACTATTTATTATATTTCTTCTTCATTTCTATTATTACAACTACGAACCATAATCAGCATTCTCAAATCATCTATACAGAAAATCTATGTATCTGGCTCTAGTTTTTTTTGTTATTGTTTTGGGGTTTTTCTGGGGGTTTTTTTGGTTTTTTGGTTTTTGGTACCAGAGATCAAACTCAGGACCTTATATCTGCCTCTAGTTTTAAGAGCAAAAACTATAATTAGTTTCCATTTCATAGCTGAATTTTTATTCTTGGCATTGCCTTCAGTAATATCATTGCCAAAACCTAGTGGTAGCTAGTAATACCAACAAGTAGAGGGGGATTTCTGCCACTCATCCTTCTTAATGCTTCTCAAACTCACACACTATAGATCTACAAAAGAAAGAGAAATTACTCCTGCCTCTAGGGACAGATTGAATAATTACTCATTATCATAGTATAACCTATTAGCTGAAGATGTAAGTCCTGGGAAGAGACTGCCAGAGTTCAAACCCTGTCCTCTCACTTATTAACAGCAGACCTTAGACAAGTTAATCAATCTCTCTAACCCTCAATCATCTCATCTTTAAATGGGTTTCATAACACTCTCTACCTCATAGGGTTGTGAGGATACATGAGTTAATACAATTAAACAAGTTATAATACTGTTATTACTTCATATAATTAAACAACTTATACTTAAAATGTTCAACAAATATTAATGATATTTGTTGTCATAAAAGTTAATATTCATCATTATCACCATGTTCACCAATATTGTCATCTTGATCCTTTTAATACAGTCTAGGGCCATTGTATGAAAAGATCATTGAAGGTGACAGTTTATAGGTTTAAAAATCTTGAATCCTGTCTTGGAATTGACTCTCCAGTTACTGCCCCCTTCTCCATTTTCCTGGATGCCATTCCTCCAGCCATTTTCTCTCTTTCTTTATTTTTATTTTTTAATATTCATAATCTTTTTTCTTCATTTGTTTGTTTTGTTTTTGAGTGAGACAACATCTCACTATGCACCTCAGGCTGGCCTTGAACTCTCTGCAATCCTCCTGCCTCAGCTTTCCACATCCTGGGATTACAGATGTAGGCCACCACTCCTATCTCTCTCTTTCTTCAATTCCCCTTCTTTCTACTCTGTGGCAGCCTGATGGAGAGAGATGGGCTCCACATACACCCAAAAATTGGTTCAGATATCAAAACTGATGATCTCGTACATATAATAAAAGACTATGAAGAGATGTATTACTTATAGAATGGGCTTTCTTGAGAGAACAGTATAGCTTCCCAATCAGGTCTGAAATGGCTGAAGAGAACAAGAAGGCATGGCTGGTTTGGGGTTTTGTGATGGTTTGGGGGTAGATCTAAGGTGGGTCCCTTTTGTGGAGCAGGCAGGACTTGCATGGTTTGAATTTCTTACAAGTGACAAAAGAGGGCACATTCAGGCGGTTTGTTTATTTTTTCATTGATTTTTTTTTTTTTGGCTTGCCCAGATATGGGGCAAAAGGGGCAACAGAAGTGGAACTTGAGAGCTTTCAGCAGCCAAAAACATCAAACATGGAGATAAAACTCTTTCTAACATTTCCCATGTTCCAAGATAGCATTACCTTCCCTGGTCGGCAAAGGGACTCAGGTGTGCTACTTCAACTACAGTACCAACACAGTCTTCCCTTCCCGGAAGAACCAAAAGACAGCAGCATTTCTCCTTCCTGACTACCCCTCCTCACCTCAAAATAAACAGATCATCTTTCCCTGAAAAATTATGAGTAAAGAAAAGATACAGGACTATAAGTGTAGCTCATTGGTAGAACACCTGCCTAGTATGTGTGAGGTCCTGGGTTTGATCCCCAGCACTGTAAGGAAAGAGAGAGAAAGAAAGAGAGGGAGAGAGGAAGAGAGGGAGAGAAAGAGGAGGAAGGAGGGAGGGAAAGAGCAAGGGGAAGAGAGAGATGAGGAAGAAGCAGATACATAATTCAACAAACTGAATAGAAAATATTTTTAAAAGATGGAATATTTTTGTTGTCTTATTTCCTAAATAATATGGCATAACAATTATATATCATTTACATTGTATTAAGTATTATAAATAATATGGAGAGGATTTCACATGAATACGTACAAAGGTTATGTGCAAATATACCATTTCATACTAGAAACCTCAGCTTCCATAGATTTTGAAGTCTTAGAGCATCCTGGGACAAATCCTATACAGATACAAAGGGATGGCTTAAATTAAATAGTGTCTTTATGAGTTACTTTTTACAGGTATTCTTTGTTTCTTTTAACCACATAATAATTATGTGAAGCTATAAGGACAGACATGCTGTTATTATATGCTACAACCATAATCAGAACTTTTAATTGCACACAGTAATAAAGTGAGTGACAAATAGAATACAATGAATAGCTTACAAATAATATATATTTTAACTTTAAAGTATGTATCTGCTGTATTCTTGAAACAAATATATCTTGAAGCATATTATCAACTGAGAGGGAGGGAATACTTTAGTTTTCAAAATAAGAAAAGGCTATATCATTTGGTGGAAACTAGAAGTAGAGCCTGACAATTCAATGTGAGTTGGTGTATATCTTAGTCCAAATGCCTAAATAATTACCTCACCCATACAATAGTTTGCTTTCTTGGGTTTCCTAAGAAATTACTTGTAAAACCACCAGAGGAGTTCTATAAACTTGTAATACCTATGACTTTGTTTTATAATTTTTAGTGTATAATCTCTGCATTTTAAATAATTTCATTTGAAAAGAAAGTGCACTTGTAGAAAAACTAATCTTAGAATTTAAATGTGTGCTTTTATTTCTATTCACTTTATTATTCATTGCCTAGTTGTAACAAAGATTTAATAATCTTGGCACTTTAATTATCATGAAATAAAGCAAGGTAATATCAATTAAAAAGGTGTGCATAAGATATGAGACTCCTCCTCTTTCAATCCCTAGGTGTCTAGATCACAGGTTAAAATCCAGTAACTTCGTAGTGCCTTCTAAGAACCTTTTCTTTTAGAAAAAAATGCCCTCCCATTTTTAACCTCTAATAAATGGCTTATTGGATATTATATGCAGTCATCGGTCATGTATTGAAGACTTTCCTTCTTGCAGAAACAGTGCAACAACAATATATCTTGAAAAAAGTCTTTAAAGACCACCCACACAATATAATTACCATTCATCTCTGAAACACAGGAAGTCAAGGAGATCTTTGAGTTAGATAATTAAGCAGGTTGTAGTTCAGGTTGTTGAACTAACAGTGGTAGAGTACTGGACTCAGGTCCCACCTAAGACCTAATAAACAGAGTTGAATGTGTCAAGTTCCACGTCCCCTAAGAGTTCAGTGGCTAAGTGGGTTGCGCTAAGAGTGGGGTTTCCAAGAAGAAGCCTGTCCTAATGAGAACTTTGGCTCTTTCTCATAGGTTGGTACTATAGGCTTTTTATCAACTTTAAGCTACAAAGGCATATCTTCTTCTTCGTGCTGCAAACCTGCTTCCCAGCTATGTTGATGGTGATGCTTTTGTGGGTTTCATTCTGAATTGGCCAAAGAGCTGTTCCTGCCAAAGTGTTCCTGGATAAATAAATCTTTCACACCTTGTAAAATGCTTGGGAGGAAGGCTAGGGCAAGTAAATAAAAATGAGGGAAACAGGGAGAAAAAGAGAGTGTTGGTTTAGTAGATACTTAGAGATATACTTTAAAGTTGAAGTATTTATCTTGTCAGCTTCAAGTGCACATTGTAAGTGTGCTCTTTCCTTGTGAAGCAAGGTTTTAGGGATGAAGCCTACACTGACCTATCTGCAGCTGGATGATAGTAAAGAAAGAGGGTAGAACTATGAAATATAAATGGCACGGCTATAAAAAGCTGTCCCTTTTCCTTTTCGAGGAACACCCTCTCCCTTGCCCAAGTCCTTTTAGCTTTGCATGACAAACCTTTACATTATAGAAGGAAGAACTTTTAAACTAATTCACAAAGCACTGTTGGTGTCTTAATAAATTCAGGGGGAGGGATGAATGCTTGAATTTGGGAACATGAATGTTGATTGGAAATTAGGGCATAACTTAAAGGCCAAAATCAAAATCAGCCACAGTGGAATTTTAGGTACTGCAGTATTTCAGTCAGCCAATTTCAGGTGGAGAGACAGTGCCAGCCACATTAAGTCACCACACAGACACAATTATCTATTCCATCTAGTATGTTATATGCCAGTGTCACACACAAACTGATTTATGGGAACTATTTCAGACCCACTTAGCAGTTATTGAGTCCTTACAAAGTGGAAGGTGCCAAGCTAAGCACTTATATGACATGCTACTTAATGAGAACCCAAGGGTAAATCCTGCTTGCCTTCTTGGCTGGTTCAGGGCAGAGCTGCCTCATTTCATCTAATTTTCATCTTTTACCTGTACTAATCTATCTCAAGAGAAGATTGTGAGAAGTGCTTCACAATCATTGTAATTATCAGACAATTCATTCCAGAAAGGGTGGTTTTGAAGTTAATATTCACAAATTATATGCATACTTCAAAAGATAAGTTGAAAGACATAAATTATTAATATCAATAATTCATTCACCTCTTTCCCTTCTTAAGAGCTTCAATCTGCAAAGCAATTGAGGCCTGAATGTCTTCAAGGAAAAAATACCATCTGAATGAGTAATTAAATTATTTTGACTGTGTCTTTACACCAGAGCTTCTTGTCCTGACTTCCGCACTACAATGGAGCAGCAGAGACCCATAGAGGAGTCTGAGGGCACAATTTCTAGCCCTGGAGCCAAGATGAGAAAGGCGGTCGGTTTCTAAAGGTTCCTGAATATGACTTTCAATCAGACTCCTCAAGTTGACAGCACTACTCTTACTGTCAGAGTGACAGCTATAAGACCTAGTTCCACAGCAGGCAGAAGAGAATGGAGACCACAGGAAGACTACATTTAAGTCATTCCCAAAATTCTGTGTTCTTGCATCCACATTTCATCCCTGGGAGATAGGAAATTCCTGTACACATTTATGTAAAATAATATACAGTTCAAAAGATCCCTCTCCCTTTTTGTTAAATCAAGAGAACAGAAGTACTCCTAGCACCCTGATCAAAATTTTCAAAGATTGTTTGCACTCTGCTTTATTCACCCTTCCAAATAGGATGCCACTCAATTCCTGGAAGAGAAGTGAAATATTCTGATCAAATCATGGCATTTAACATTTCCATCTCATTATCGTTACTTTGTGTTTGGAGCCTTCAAGTTCCGCTCATGCAGTCACTCATAAAAAATGCAACAGACTATTGTGAACTATGGCACCCATTCTCCTGTAGAATATAAGAACTTATTACTTCTGTGTTTGAGTACCCATTGTCCATTCCTCCCTAACCTATCTCCCCTCTAACCTGCCCAGCCTCTAGTAAACATTACTGTAATTCTGATTGACTTATTTTAATATGCTCATAGAAGAGAAAAGGAAATATGCAGAATTTGTCTTTCTGTGCCTGACATTTCACTTCACATAATCGTTTCTAATTTCACCCGTTTTTCTGCAAATAACATGATTTCATTTTTCTTTATGGCTGAATAATATTCCATCATATATATATATATGTGTGTATGTATGTATGTATTTATTTATACCACATTTTCCTTCCGTAGAGATTGTACCAATGTATGTTCCATGTTCCACCAGAAATATATGAAAATTCATATTCTTGCCAGAATTTGCATTTTGTCTTGTTTATGGTGGCCATTCTACCTGGGACGAGGTGATATCTCATTGTGGTTTTGATTTATATTTCCCTGAAGACTAATTAAGTTGAGCATTTTTTATTCATAAATTTGTTGGCCATTCAAATTTTTTCTTTTCAGAGATATCTATTTGTATCATTTGCTTGGTTTTAAATCAGATAATTTGGGAGGTTTACTAGTTTAGTTTTTAAGTTTTTCATGTATTATGAATATTGATCCTTTGTCAGATGAATAGTTTGCAAAACATGTTTTACCATTCTGTAGGTTGTCTATTTTCTTTGCTGATTGTTTTCTTTGACATACAGAAGCTTCGTAGTTTGATATCATTGCTTTTATCTATTTTATTTCCTGTGCTTTTAGGGGAGATATCCAAAAAATCATTCCCTATATCGATGTCTTGAACTGTTCCCCTGTATTTTCTTCCAATAGTTTCATAGTTTCAGGTCTTACATTTAGGCAACTGGTTCTTAGCTGTGCTTCTTCAGTCTATTGTAATAGATTTTATTTGAAATACAGGGAAAAATCTGACTTTATTGAATATGTGGTTGAAAAATCACTATTATTTTTAAATGACTAGTGTTTTAGGTTTTTCCAGATAATTTTGTCTTGGAAATATGACTACTAATTTTAGTCTTTCCAAATAATTTGACATATTGAATCAACCCAAATTCAAAAAGTGATAGTTTCTTAAAGGTTAGTTACAATGTGAAATTTGAAACATCAACACATTCTTTCTAGATTAAAATCCACTGGTCTGTTTTGTACTTTGAACATACAGATCTTTTACCCACTGCACTGGTCATTTGGCAAATACTGATTTAATGAGTTATACAGATCTCTCAAAGTTTTTCATAATTCATTATGCAACATCAAAAGCACATTAATTAATATCACTGCTAATTATTCATCATAAATTTGTAAGTAAGAGGAAGTTCATAGGTATGTAAGTCTGGTAAAATTCTAGTTTGGGTGTGAAAGCTTGAATCATATAGTTGACAACCAACATCTTTAGTTGTTTCACTTGAAGTAATAGGCTGGCTTTGCTTGGTTTTAAGAAATGCCAAATGCTAGATTTGCCAAATGCTAAAATCTGGATGATCAATTTGTCCTCAGTTTTTCTTCTGAGTTAAAATGGTATTCCATTTTTAAAAGTATCTAGCTCAGCTCACAACCCAATTGCCTGAGTGCTTTTTCTTAAGGCAATTTTTCTACTTTGGCATGCAGAACACTTTGTGTGCATTTCTCATTTCATGACCCAGAATGCTAAAAAGACACACATTCAAGGAGTACACTTTAATAAAATTAGTAATCTTTGCTGCCTTTCCTTTTCACTGTGAGTGCTGTGAGGGGGAAAACACAGTGATGATTGGTATGTATGAGGATCTTGCTTTGGATCTTGCTAAGCCAATAGCAGTTTTACCAACCATTGCCCTGCGCTGTCAGTACAAAAGTTGACACAGTGACATAAGTAAATAAGGTCTGGGTATTGCAATCAAATTTATTTTTACTACACAGAGTCTTTGAGAATTGTCTTGAGGAACTGTAATTCTCAGGTACCTGAACCTTTATAATCTTCTCTCTAAAATGTGCTTAATACTCTTAGCATCTCTTTTTTCAATTATTCTGTCCTTCCCCATGCTGTGACTCTTGCTAACTTTCTCTTGGGTTGTCCTAATGGACCTATCTGCCCAGGATCATCTTCCAAGACTCTGTGACATATGACCCAGAGAGGGTTGGAAGCAGAAACCCAGCCGGTGCTCTGTGAAACAGGGAGTTTGGGATGGTGACCTCCAGAGGAAGAGGCACATTTTACTAATGTGCACTAAGCAATAAAATACTGTATAATTGCTTAGTTCACCTCCTGTTCTTAGTCTGGTCCAACCATATTACCAGAAAAATATTTCCAAAATGCAAATATGATCACACTAATGTACACTCAACTCAAAAAATGCCAATTGAAGTAAATATGTTCAGCTTCTGTGGGTTGCCAGATGAAATACATGACACTCAATTAAATTTGAATTTTAGATAAGCTCCAAATAATATTGCTAAATCTGAAACCTTACTTCTGCCTCAATATACTTACACTAAGTTTTAGCCAATTTTGACATTTATGTTTCTCAAACAGTTCCCATGCCTATTTATCTTGCTTCTGCACATTTGCTCTTTTTCTCTCTCTGCCTGGAATGTTCTCTCTACCTATCTTCCTTTGTAAAAATCCTGCCATCTCTCCAGAGTCAGAAGTCTCTGCTTATGGATTCAAGCACACATGGCTTCTCCTAGCTGTGAACCAAATGACACCCAATATTTTATTGCTTAGCTATGAGCAAGGGTAGTTTGTCTAGTCTTTAATAGAAAGTGACCTCCTCAAGGACAAGCATCACTGTCCTCATCTTTTTATTCTTGTAGTATCTAGCACAGTGCCCTGCACATATTTCATTCTCAATACATAGTTCTGGTGTTTCCAATGCTGAGCTCACCCTGCATTTAATGATTTTTCAGGCAAAGAGTGAGAGGATGAATATCAAAAAGTTGTCAGTTGTGATTAGGCAAGTCTCGTAAGGGCTGGTAGCCATCATCATTTGGAATGTACAATGAGTTCAAAACCACATGTCTCTCTGTTTAATTTTGCAAGAAGAGAATGAGGGGCTATTTTAAAATTATTCAAGCCTGTATTTACACTCATGGTAGAAGGAGTTGTATTATACTTTCCTTTATTATTTCTACTTCTCTCCTTCTTTCCTTGCTTCTATATTTCTTGCTTTGCCCCATGCATGAATCACACCATTTTCTGTACAATGTATTAAGTGACTAGATCCTTTGCTGGGAAACAGGTGCAGAGGAAGTCTGTTATGGTTTGTGTCTAGATGTCTCCTCAAAGCCTCATGTGGTCATAAGCCATTTTGGAGGTGGCTGAATCTAGACTATGTGATTAATTCAATGATGGGGCTAGAATTAAGGGTTTGAGTGCTACCCGCCCTAAGTAGTCTGAATAAGAAAAAAGGGCAGAAAGACACTGATAATGCCCTTGTTGGCTTTGCTACCTTTTGACCACCATAAACTATTTCTTCTCTGCCATGATACTCTGCCTCGGAGCCAGCCAATTATGGACTGAAACTTCTAAAAATTGTAAGCCAAATAAATCTTTCCCCCTTTAATTTTGGGTGTTGGGTATTTTGCCTTAACAATGAGAGAAAAGTAACTAACATAAAGTCCATCAAACTTTCAGGTCTGTAGTCACAGTGAAAAATATCTCCTAACGGATGATGTCTCATATATTTGGAAAAGCAAATATTTAGGGAACTGAATAAGCACATTCGTTTCATCATTGCAGAGATTACCAGAACTTCTAATGATAGTCACTAAGGTCTAGTGCTACTTTTGAGGTACAATGATTGCTAGTTTCTGGCCACAGAGTACTGTTGGAATATCTAGTCCATATCTTGCTTTCCCTTCTATTATTTTATATTTTTCTTCTGCATACACCAATAGCAAAAAAAATTTCCCTTGCTTGAAGGTGAATGGAGATTCCCCCTCCTTGCAGAACTGCTTGCAGCACAGCCACTGAAAGGGGAACAACCTCAGTAGTTCTAGAAATAACACTCATCTGCCCTACATTTGTCAAATTGGTCAATGAACCTACCCACCATGTATGCCCAGAAGTGGCTAATAAAACACAGAGATGAATCATTTTCTCCAGACTGTCCTTAATTAACCCCACATGTATACTTAAAAGTTAATGTGGGGAAGCCACAAGGACTTGGAGGAGCTCAGCCAAATGGCCAGACTAAATATTTTCTCATACCACTTTCCTAACTGTGCATAGCAATATCAGTAGGTGGGAAGATAATTTTCTAATCTCAACACATGACCTTCCTCTGTCTAAATAGTCACTTCATATAATTCAAAACTCTTTTATTGAGATGTTAACTTTAATGGATATGAAAGGGCTACTATTTATCAAGATTAATTCATTTCCAAGTTGTGGCTCGAGAATAGTAAGTGTATTTAATGTAGCCATAATAGTACTCACTTCAAGTTTTATTGCTTTTGGAATTTATATATCAGCTTTCTCATCACTCACTCCCCCTACCCAGCAATCTCTCCTCTCCACTCTCTCATTCTTTTTTATTCTTTCTCATTTTAAACAAGGAATATCTAGAATGCTGGTTTTCAAACTAAATAAAGTTATAATAAATTAGTTGGCCTAATCACCTTTGAAAGAAATGACTGAGAGTTTATCACTCACGGCCAATTTAGATAATTCAATTTTTTTGTTTAGCCAAAATCATCAGTTCGAAACATATGATGAGACAATCTGGCATGTACACATTTTTGAGTCTTTGTTTTCATCAAAACCTTTATTTTTTCTGCTAAGTCCATATTTCTATCAAAAAATGAAATTTCATCTTCCATATCTCAAAAAATCATCTAGAGAGAACATTTTAAATTTTTTGAGCTAATGGGATAAACTAAATAGGAATATTAGTCCAGAATTCCTTTCATATCTGCTAGTGAACATCTGAAGGGATTAAGAGTTTTGCCCTGTTGAAAAGCACAGAGTACCTTCTTTGTGTCTCTTAACATAATTCCACATGGATTTTTGTCTCAAAGATTCATATGTAGAGATTGATTTATAATCTTAAAAGCAAAAGGAAATTCTTTTCCCAGGTCCAGAATGAGAGGCAATAAATTTCCATGTAAAGCAAAAGTTTAGTACTCAGGGGAAGAGATTGGAATCCTACTCCACAAAACGTAGACATTTAATTACTTAGCTACTCTCAGTTCATATTTCTCTTAGGCAACAATAGCCAACTAATATTTATCTACATGTGTGAATAAATATTTGCTAAAAGTAAGCAGGTTTTATGCAATAATTTTTATTTCAGCTATATCTAAAATGTTAATAAAAATTTCATGTTGATGTTTATTTATGACTCCAAATATGTTTTGGAGTCAAGGGATGCAAACAACATGCACCCCTATGCATATTGTTGATTTGAGCATTGTCAGAAATAAACCTGGGACTCAGTGAGACAGTTGCCTGTATTTAATATTATGAACTAGAACTGTAGTTAGGTTTCTTATTCTGGAGTTCACATCAAAGTCAGGGTGAGATTCTGGGTCCTGCCAGGTGACAAATTACAAGTTGTGGTGATCTTGATTCTATAAACTAAAAACTTCATCTGAAATTTAATGGCCCTGTAGCATTGTTATGTGTGACATGGGCTCCCTTATATGAGAACCTTGCAAAATTACTAGACAAAGAATAGAAAGATGTTGGTGAAAGCTATTCACATGCTGTGTCTGTACACTTAGGAGTAAATGATGGTGTTCTTCCTGCTGTTTGGGACTCCTCACAACTTATAAAAATCATTAAGGATTCCATTTGCACCTCCCTAGTGGGAAGTTAAGAAATAAAATCATGCCAGCTAGAGTACATTTCAAATATTTACAAGACCACACTTTCACTCCAGGCAGAACTCTTACAATATCCCTCTGAGAAATGATTGCAGACATGGAATGGCCCTTCCCACAGCCAGCAATTTATTTTTTTAATTTTTTTATTTTATTAGTAAATATTTGCAACTCACGCAGTTTACAGTCATCTTGGAGAGTGGTTACATGTACATATAACAACTTGTTTTGTTTTTTAGCCCTTTCCCCTTCCCTCCCCTATCCCCTATTTTGTACTTGTTGATATAGTCTTAACTCATGTTATGAAATATAGTGTTTACATTAATTGGGGTTATTGGAGTTATTATGTTACTATATATGGCACATCTTTATTCCTCTCATTTCTCCTTCCTCTCCTCCTAACCCCTCGCCCTTGTTCCCTATTGCAAGAGATCTGATATCCATCCCCTTGTCCCTTTCTATATCCATCTTTTACCATTTTCTTTGCCTGTACTTTGCCTCACTCAAATGAGAGATACCTTATGGTGTTTAAGCTTCTGTCTCTGGTTTATTTCACTCAATATTATAATTTCCAGGTGCATTCATTTTCCTACAAGTATCTCAAATGTGTCATTCTTTTTAGCCAAGTACTATTCTATTATATATAGACACCACATTTGCTTTATCCAGTCATCCATTAATGGGTACAAAGGCTACTTTTAGGGTTTAGCTATTATGAATTGTGCTGGTATAAACATTGGTGCATATGCATCACTGTAGTATGATGACTTAAACTCTGGGAAAGATACCTAGCAGGGGATATCTGGGTCATTTGAAATTTCTAATTTCAGTTCTTTGAGAAGTCTGCACACTGACTTCCATAATGTATTATTTTGCATTCTCACCAACAATGCAGGAGGGTTCCTTTTTCACTACACCCATGTCAGCATGTGTTATTATTTGATTTCCTAATGATTGCCATTCTTTCTGCAATAAGATGGAATTTTAGCATTGTTTTAATTTGCATTTCTCTAACGGCCAGAGATATTGAATTTTTTTCATATATTTGTTAACTATTTGTCTTTCTTCCTCTGTGAAGTGTCTATTCATTTCTCTTGCCCATTTCTTGACTGGGTCTTAAATTTTAGGTGTTTTGATTTTTTTGAGTTCTTTGTATATTTTGGATATTAGTCTTTTGTCTGAGGAGTAGCTGGCAAAAATTTTTTTTCTTATTCTGTAAGTTGTCTCTTCACTCTACTGACTTTTTTGCTGTACAGAAGCTTTTTAGTGTTTATAATTCCATTTGTTGATTCTTGCTGCTATTTCTTGAGCCAGCAATTTATTAAAGAAACTTCTAAGTCACTTCTTCCTCCACTAGCTCCCAGAACCTGATTTCTTTGCTTCTGATGCTCAGGCAAGAGAATAAAGAGGAAAAGAGGAGAAGAAAAAAGAAAGGGAGTAGACTCTGAGAAGAGACAAAAGGAAGAGGAGGAGTGAGGAGGGGAGAAATGAGAGGAAATCCTGACTGGCGTTCAACAGTTGCTCAGTAAATGTTTAGTTAAGACTAAGCTTCCAGTAGCACATGCACTCTCTGAATTTCAGTTGAACTGAAATTGTTTCATTAACAAGGAGTAATGAACTTGTTTCATTAGCAAGGGGTAAAGAGAATAATTATGGCCTTTGAGTGTTCTCTTTGAAAGAAAATGCCTAGAATAGCAATCTTCAATGCTACTAAAGATCACTCAAAAGGAAATGAGATCCCCCTGCAGGATGAAAGAGTAAAGATCACATAAAAAAACAATTTTCTTAACAATAAAAGTTGTGGAAAAAAAAAAAAAAGTTGTGAAATAATGGGGAAAGTTAGTGGAGATTACTTTGAGATTTCTTTCCCAGAATAATTTTTAAAAATTGAATACATTTTTACCTTTTAGGGATGGTTAGAAGAGGCCCATCTGAGGGTACCATGCAGACATGTCAGGCTCTGTGTCTCTAAACGGAATAAAGGACACAGTATGGGCAATGGCAGTCAGGGTAAGAAAAAAAGAAGGAAAGAAAAATCCAATGAGAGCTTCTTGGTGTGCAAGGTCAATATGCAGATTCCTCCTGCCACCCATTGGCTCATCAGACTAGTGCTGTTCTGGAAATGCACCACCTGGTGTGACTCTGAACCTGCTTGAAATTGAATGGCTGTCACTGACCTTGTCACTATTCTTTAATGTCAGGAATCACCATGGTGCTGACCATGTCCACAATCATCACTGGTGTGAGTGCCTCCATGCCCCAAGTGTCCTATGTCAAGGCCATGGATGTATACTTGTGGGTCAGCTCCCTCTTTGTGTTTCTGTCAGTCATTGAGTATGCAGCCGTGAATTACCTCACCACAGTGGAAGAGCAGGAGCAATTCAAGAAGAAAGGGAAGGTACCACTTTGCTTTGACTATGAGATCCCTTTGTGAATGTGGAAAATTCTATGCTCTTTTCTAACCCTCTCCTGATGATTCTACAAGTTTTTGTATTAGGTCCTTATGCTTTGGCAAGATGCAAGTTTACAAGATGGTGAAAATTTAATATTGAACTTCAATTTCTGCTCTGTGATGGCTGGTTTCCTCAGCATCCTCATTTACCTTTACCAGGAGATTTTGTGTTTGAAGTATTACTCTCAATATGCTCCTCTCCCCTTGCCTGTACCCCTTTGAAAAGAAAGGATTGATATACACCCCTTTGAAATCACACCTTTCAAGTGGGTGGTGATGATAATAATAGCTAACATATAATGAGTGATCTGTAGATACTGGCATTATGCCAATCATTTAATGCACATTTAATTCAATTCCCACAATAACATTTAATCCCATTTAATTCCCACAATAACATCTAACGTGTATAATCTCATTTAATTTCCACAATAACCCAAGAGATCAATGTTTTATCGCCCTCATTTCATAGAGGCAAAATAAGCACAGACAAGGTCGCACAGCTAAAGAGAAAACAAGATTTGCTTCTGGGTCTCCTTGACACAAAAGCTGTGCTCTCAACCAGCAGATGTTGTTTCTCAGGATTTATTTTTCTCTTTTTCTCACCGAGAAGAGTGGAAGGGTAAGAAGGAAAGTTCTTCCCCCCACAATATCCTAGAATTAATGTGCCTTCTGGGCTGTAGATGTTATTTCATTTTTGTAACTTTGTTTAATATGGCTAAACTGTTCTCCATCTGCTTCATTTCATGAAGATCTTGGATACCAGTTCCCCTTTCTAATGAGAACTGACCTAATTATACTTCGGGAACCCAAATCATTAATATATATTCATTTGCTAGGCTACATTTAAGAGATTCTCTGTGTATATAATTTTAATGCAATATATCCACATTGGTTTAATAAATTCTTAAATACCCAGAGCATTATTTAATATTTTTTAATTTCTAGTGGCACCACTTCATATCTTCAGAGTGTTTTTATATCATCTCTCCATGCTGACGTTTCATATCAGCTCCCCAGTGTAGGTCTTGCCAAGATGACTATCTCTGTTTTATAAATGAAGAAGCAGAATTTTATTGAAGTAAACTGTTTTGCCAAAAGACTTACAGCCAACAAAGTTGCTGCTGCAATTCAGAACTCCTAGGATGCTAACATTATTGTTTCATTTGATATTGAGTCAAACCTCAGAGGAGCTGATTTTGTTTTATTACAGATGCTTCCATTTCTTTTATTGATGGCAGCTGACTATGTATCACACACATTTTGCTATGCAAATGTGAGGAAAGTGGGCGTTTTAGACCATGTGCTCCAGTGGTACTTTTTCATGAGCATTCTGACTCAACTGGTCTGGGTTATATACCTGAGAGTCTGCATTGCTAACAAGCTTGAGGTGATGCTGATGCTGCTGGTCCATTACTCACTCTGCAACTAGCAGTGATTTGGATAACCTATAAAGTAAAAGGTGACTGAAAAAAATATGTGAAGAGGGAAATCATTTTTCTTGTTTTGATTCAAGGATTAGTTTACCCAAGAAATAAACACCAAACTAATTTTAGTCCATCTCCAACTATTCCATTGACTCCCAAATACCTACATTTTCCTGCCCTTACCTGCCACACAAATATTTTCACACTACCTGAATTTTTTTTTTTTACTTGAGGAAGTGATATCTTCTTGTGTACCTAATGAAGAATTTTTTTGAGTTAATAAGCATCTTCTTTCACAAGTTTTAGGGGATTTTAACTATGTTAAAGCACACATAACTTAAAATTTACCATTGTAACTATTTTAAAGTATATAGATCAACCGCCTGCTGTGCAAGCGCAAGGACCCGAGTTCGATCCCCGGCACCAAAAAAAATAAATAAATAAAGTATATAGATCAGCAATGTTAAATATATTCACATTGTTGTACAGTCTCCAGAGGGTTTTTTTTCTTGCAAAACTGAAACTCTGTATCCATTAAACAACTCCTCGTTTTCTCTTCCTCCGTGAAGTTATCTTAAAGAAATGTCCTACTTTTCATTCATAGATCATAGGATGAAAGAAAAAAAAAAGATTTAGAGTTAAAAAAGAGTGATGCCAAACTGAACTCTGTCACTTTCCACCTTTGTGTTTTAGGTTAAGTCTCCTAAACCTCCATTTGCATTCCCAAAATCATATAATTTCTTGCCTATTTTCCTCACAGGGCTTTTGTGAATGTCAAATGATACAATAAAGGATCTGAAATCTTGGTAAACTATAAAGTGCTATACAAATGTAAGTTCTTACTGTGATTAGTGTCAAAGGGTTACACACTGAAAGAATAGGAGTATTCATATACAGTAGAAACAGGCAGCCTACAATGAGAAGCCTTTGAAAGGATATGAAACCCTACATGGATGAGGGTAAAAGCATACTTCTGCAGGTTTAGAGGGTAATCAGTGATACCTCTTCCCTCAATTTCAGTTGGAAACCAGTTTTAAAAAGAGAACAAGAATTGGGATTCAGACAGATGGGTACGATGATATCACCTTTGTTTTTAATAAAGCAGTTTATTGAATGTTGCTTAGATCTGTAAGCAGAACAGTTCACTGTAGGGAGAAGGGAAAGGGTACATTACTAGAACCTCTGCAGTGGGTCCTGGTCTCCTGTAAACCATGACAGCAAAGGCAAATTAAAGAATAAAGACAGGAAATGAGACTTAAAGAAAAAGCTGGGTTCTGGGCCTGATCGATGCTTCTCTGAGTAGCAAAGATGAAGGCACACTGAGCTTGCCATTATTTATTGGGTTCATAGGGAGTAACAGATGACTCAGAGGGTAGTGATAATCCTAAATTGAAAAGGATCTTATAATGGGAGGAAGTATCAGATGTCTCGGAGGGTGTTGGTAATCCTATGACCATGAGGATCTTATGCTGATGAGGATCTTATGTTGATTAGGACAGTAAGATGAGCAAAGATGTTCTTACAAGAGTAGGTGAGATGAGTTAATCTGATAAGGAATCTGCCCCTCTGAAGTGAAACCTTTCTCTTACTACTCAGTTCTCAAGGAACCAGGATGTCATCTTGCCCTTGAGGGTCACAGCCTCATGAGACCATTGAGGTCTCAGCTGTGACCTGAGGCAAAAATGGAATTATGTTTTGGCATGTGATAGCCAGCCTGTAGGCAAGAAGACTATGACTAATCAAAATTTAATAGTGAATGATTTTTCTCCAAAATTGTATAGAATGGCTCCTGACAGTTCATTATATTTCCACACTGAATTAAAAGTACTTACTCTTTTGGTCACTGGCAAAGTTAAACAATTTAGGTTTCTCCTGTTAGGTTAGTCTCCTTTTACATCATTTTGAAGAACAAATCTGGGCACCAATGTGAATGCTAAAGTGAAGACTCAAAAGAGACTGGTCCATGCGTACTAGCTCTTTCCCCCAAACACCAAGGGAGGAATGAATGATGGATGGTGAGGAAGGTCTTGAATATTCGCACAGTGGATTTCCTGCCTATAAAAATATGCAGTCAGCCAAAACTTCTTTTCTACCACCACCACTGCCACCACTATCAACCACACCATTCACCATTACATCCGTCACCATTACAGAGACACAACACCTTCATCACCCACCACTTCCACTCAGCCAAATAGTACCTTCTCCATCTCTACATCCCATACCCTCCAAACGCTCACTAAATAAATAGTAAGAACCAGGAGAATACCAAGACCATGGAACAATTTTCACTAATGTTGACTCTTGCCTAGAAAGGAGAAAGGAAGCTATCTTTTTCTTTTTCATTATCCAAATGTTTTTCTAATTCCAAGACACAGAACTCAGTCTAAAACGGATCCGTAGTTTAGACAAAATATACCTTATCAATGTGCTAATTTATGGCTTGCGATAAAAAATTAAAGACCAGTTCTAAAGCAGTTTTTGTTGCACAGCTGACATAAACTTGTAAAAAATTGCAGCTTTTTGGCAACTTGTAGGATGCAAACTTTCATCAATTACATAGATAATTCTTCATTATTGTAATGGAGAATGAAAATGACACTCTTTGTTTTTTAAAGATTTGTTTCTTTTAATGCCCGGACATTTTTATTCAGGCAAAAATAACAGATGGATGCAGATAGTTCAGCTGTGTTCTGGGTGTCTAGGAAACCAGTTAAGACTGTACATAGTTTTTCTAGGGTCAGATCCATAGTTAAATACATTAGCAATATTATTGGCTACCTCAGGTTAGTTATTTACCTTGATCTCTTTGCATTTTACTTCATCCATTTTCATTTTATATGAAAAATTTCTGCAATTAAATAAAAGTATAACATATTCCAAATTACAAGTTCCTGGTTAGTTCACTGATTTAACAAAATAGTCTCTGTGTCTTTTGAATTCAGTAAAATATCAAGTTTTTAATTCCCAGTACCAGAAAAAAAAGAAACAACAATGAAAATATTCAGTTTTTAAATTGCTATGACCCAAGTACAGGTTTTGACAGAATTTACTCTGCAGCCTCCAATTTGAATTTTGAATAATTTCATCTAGAGTAGCCTCTTCATATTTTCTCAGTTTTCAATTTCCTTATAGTCAAAGAACTGATTTTGTTTTCACAAAAAGCAATTACTAACAGCTGGTTCCTAGGCCTTGCTTCATACTACTGAGATCCTCAATCTCCCCCAGAGTAAAACCTAAAAGAAAAATTTTGATTTAGATTCAATTGGACACTGGGGCCAGTAAGCACTGACAATTTTCTTCTTCAGAAAAATAAGTCAATTTCATGTTTAATTGAGCTATGTTAGCAAATTATAGATAATTTTAAGCAAAAATAAGATGACCTGGCTAATTTGCATTTGTAGAGAACCGCTAAAATCATTTGCTCATCAATCCTTAATTTAAGCATACATGGGTTACCAGATGTGATTATCTGTTTTTGAGAAAAAACCACACTGACTGGGCATACTGCTATGTTCTCCCTAAGGATAAAAATCAGTTAAAAAGCAAATCCAGTTGGAGTATATTGATGTTCCAGTAAATTATATTCAATTTCAACTCATAAATTTATGGCAAACAATTCAGACTACACAGAAATAAAGAGGAAAACATGCATCCACTATAACAGTCTGTCAGATCAGGACTAAATTAGAAAACATTAACTTTATAGTTGCATAATTTTTACTTTTATGATGCTCAAATACCTTTGTGGAAATAAATATAAAATTCTTTATTAAATCAAGATCCATAAGATGATGTTCTCTATTTATTTTTGAAGTGACTTTTAGTGAGACAGCAAAGGCAAAACCAAAATTCTATTAAGAAGCAAAACATTTTTAGCATTTGTAAAAACTATTTTAAAAATTTGACTTGCATTTTTACTGTAACTCCTACTCATGAAACCATATTCATTACCTACTTTAAAAAAGTTTTTTTGACAGATTTCTGGGATGTACAACATGGATGCAGTGCAAGCCATGGCCTTCGATGGTTGTTACCACTACAGCAAGTCTGAAATGGACCAGAATTCCTTTTCTCTCCACTCTGAAGAGGACTCTATGAGAGGGAGATCCGCAGGCAGCCCCAGCACGGATTCATCTCAGATAAAGAGAAGAAAATCCCTGAGAGGAATCATCCTGGCAAACAACCATGCCACTGATACCTATTCTAGAATTTTATTTCCCATTCTGTATATAATCTTTAATTTGTTTTATTGGTGTGTACATGTATAAAGAGGTCCCTCTCTCTCTCTCTCTCTCCTCTCTCTCTCTTTTCCAGTTAGACAAGTGTGCTGTCTCTGAGCCACACCCCCTAGCCTGAAGAGGAATTCCTAATCTATAAAACTTGCATTGGAATCACATTGTGTGTAAACCCTTGAATATAAATTGTACAGTACAGATTGAGCTTGGAGAGACCTAGTCATGTCTCTTGGCCTAAAGAAGATTTGAGAGCAGACTGATTTAAATCTAGGAAAGTGTTCAAAGTCCTAGGAGGATTTGACTCCGTGAATAAGAGTTACAGGAATGTGTATTATGGAGAAACTTTTTTTTTTTTTGGTACCGGGGATCAAAGTTGGGTCCTTGGGTTTGTGATCCAGGTGGCAGAACCACTGAGCTAAATCTCCGGCCCTAGAACAGCTTTTTAACTACTTCATCTGGGAACTTCTCTGTTAATGAAAATGTTCTTTATTTAACTAGGGAATAAAATTGGACTGTGCCATTAATTCAAGGATAATTTATTTCTTAGCATCAGATTACCTAGTTTATGTCCTCCTAGGGAAGAACAATTACACCAGTGTGGTGGTATCCTCATTGCTCTGTCTTATGAAGGGCCCCCTTCGTTTTCCAATCAAACCTTTTGTCTAACTTTTAAGTTTCACATCTAATTTAGTTGAAAAGGGAAAATATCTAAACTTCACTCAGTCTTCTCTCTTAATACATATGAATTCATACTTCAATCATCAACAACAGCATCTAGTATATTTGAGATGAGTGATAGCTTTTGTAGGTTTTTAGGAGTGAGTAATCATTTTATTTATCAAATGGTTATTAGCCACCTACATGAACCAGGAACTTTATTAGGTATTATATACTGCAAAATGAATATGGAAAAACCCATTCTTTCCATTCCTGAGTGCACAGCCCACCAGAAATAGTGAACTGGCTGATAAATCAACGTGAAGGGTGTTAAAACAGAGGTATATGCACTTTTCCGTGTAAATTCTGAAAAGTTTACCAAAAGAATGAAAAGAACATCCACAAAGGAATGTTGACCCTCAACTTACAAATAAGTGAAGATGCTGTTGTATATCATATTACATGAAAAAAATTGAATATTTATATATCACATAGTCATCTTTAGTAACTTTGGTTGAAACAAGTAAATCAGATCAAGCAGGTATTAAATAAGTGTTAAGTAGAAAACCCTCCAATGACCAGCATTTATTTTGCAATTGGCAGTGTGTGTAGTTTTGTTAGGTATTTTGTGAAAAAGACACAATTTAGAAAAAAAACTTGACAGAACGTATGAAAATTTCCCTTTTTAATTTTTTCCCCCCATTAACTTTATTGGTACATTTTAGGTATAAAATATAGTTACATTCATCATTGGAATCTTGTACCATTACATGAGTATCTTGGTTCTTTTTTTTTTTCCCCTTCTCTTCACCCCCGCCACCCTTCCCTATTGGCAAAGACCTTATTTCCATTTTTTTCCTCTTCTCATATGTTTTCCTTTCCCTTTTTTCCCTTCCCCTACCCCTCCCAATTCCCTTGCTCTTTTAGACTTTTTCTTCCTCTTACACAATATCAGTTACACACTTTTTAAATCACAATATTAAGATCTAGGAGACATTACCACAGATTTTACAGAATTTAAAAGCATATAGAAAGCATATTACAAAAACCTGTTTTGAAATAAATTTGACAACTTCTAAGAAGTAACTTAGAAGACAAATTAATGAAATTAACTCTGGAGGAAATATAAAATTTGAATAGCACCTATTAAAGAAAGTATATTCCT